AAGACCTGAAAATCCGTCTTTTTTTGTTTTTTCTTCCAATTCTCATTCAAGGTAACGTGGTGCATTTGATAACCCGTGGAGCATTTAGTACTCCCGCTATCAAAATTTGCTTTTTCTATAATGAACTTATTAGGTTTAACTTGACTGCACTTGAGCCTATTGGTGCTTTTTGTAATTGTGCATTGCCTTCAGTAGCAAATGGTTCTTGCATTCCCACTCGACAAACCTCCATTTCTTCGAATGCTCTTTTTTTACCATAGGTCTTTTTTAACATAAACAACTTTATTTCTTCTTGAACCTTAATGGAAACTTGTGGACAACCTGCAACATTCTTATGAGTCTTTGCAAGATGCACCTTTAGCCTTTTAATTCCACCAGTGATCTTCTTCTGACAAAAGTTGCACTCAACACATATATAAGTTTTGTCTTCCAGCGACCTGATTGGACGAAGTTCAACACAATACTTACAACCAGGATCAGTCCTCCCACTTATTTTTGCCATATCTTTAAAACTGTAAATTTATAAAATAGTTAAGAAAAAAAGCAATGATCAATTATAGCGAGCTGCAATTGGTTATACAATTCCATGAAATGAATTTAATGATTAGTTGATACAATTATACGGGCATATGAGTATAATATAGGATTTAACTATACAATTTTAGAATATATAAGTTAGATATTTATTTATAAATTTTATTAAATCCACCATTATCATTCTAATTCATTTATTTTCTTAGTAAAAGTAAAAATATACCGACTAAACTGTATTTTATTTATATTAATATATGTATATAACAAAATATTATTAAAGTCTAAAAACAAACTCTACAAATTTATATCTTATTTAAAGTCTCTTTTTAACTTTCAATTTATCAATTTTTATAATGCGTTCCATATAAACGCACTCATTCCAATCGAATGTCATTATATTACCTGTTTCATTAGTTTTAAAACAAAAAAATTTCGAGTAAACGAACATTTAAAATGATGCATTTTATGAAGAAGTCAAGTTACTTCTCGAATAGAAGATGTTATTTTAAAACTAAAATAATTATTTTGAAATTAAAACAAAATAATTAATTTAGTTTTAAAAAACATATTTTGAAAGCAAAACGGCAATTTTTAACGCCAGCAATAAAATAAACTCGTATTCTAACGTCTCCGTTTAGTTAACGGCAGGAGAAAATTTAGTTATCGGAAGGCTGTTAACGCCAAAATCTAACCCTGCTATGCCCTTCTGTTAAAAATGCTATCGGAGAAATTTTCTTTTATTTATATATACATATATATATATATATATATATATATATATATATATATATATATATATATATATATATATATATATATATATATATATATATATATATATATATATATATATATTAGTAATTATTAGTAATTATTAGTAATTATTAGTACTTAACCGATGAGAATCAACTAATTGTTAATTTTTGTCCAGAGATAAATATGGAGTGTTTCACTTATTACAATATTAATTTAAGATCTCCATTAGCAACTAAATAAAATTAAAAATATTTTCTAATTTAATTACTTTTTTCAGCAATTTTGTTTTTTTAATTACGCTTTAAATAAAAAAAATGGTTAATGTTACATGTAAGAAAAAAGATTTTAACATGATAACACTACTTGAAAATAAATAAACGTGATTTTTTGTTTGTATTGGTATTTTAACGCAAAAACGTAGTCTTTCAAAACATTAGCAACTTTTTTAAAACTACCCTAAAAATGTTAATATCAATAGTTAATGGCATATCCTTTACTTTTTAGGATCAAAGACATCTTCTCGGCATAGACTCTACGAGTTTAATAATTTTTCTTGTGTAATCTCATTCCACGTGGTTTCAATAGCTTTATATAGGTCTTTGGCGTTTTTGAAGGGTTCTTTGTGTTTTATGGATAGTTCAACTTGGTACCATAACTTTATAATCGGGTTGAGATCAGGTAATTGAGCTGGCCATTTCATTACCTTAATTTGATTTGTTTCAAACCATTCTTTAACGAGTTTAGAGGTGTATTTGGGGACGTTTTCTTATTGAAATGTCCATAAAAGAGGCATATTATTATCAGTATGAGCAACCATTTTTTCCTTGAGAATATCAGAATAAACATACTGATCCATAATGCCATTTATTCGGTAAATAATTCCAACTCCACTAAAACCAGAAAAACAACCCCAAACCATTGCACTTTTTCCACCACCATGCTTGATTGTTCCTATTGTGTATTTAGGATCTAACCGTTTACCTAGGTCTACGTACCTTTAAATTTCCATCAGGATCTTTCAATTTGTACTTTGATTCATCGCTTCAGAGTACTCTATTCCAATCATTTATAGTCCAGTCTCTATGAGTATTTGAAAACTCAATTCTAGTTTTTCTATTCTTCTGAGAAATGAAAGATTCTTTTTTTACTAAAGCTCAAAGGTCCTGAAAGTTGTAACCGTCTACAAACTGTATTTTGAGACACAGAAAGTTTCTGTTTTTTAATGGTATCATCAGCGCTGTCAATAGGATTTTTTTTAACATGACGAATAATTTTTCTATCGGTGAAACGACATGTTTTGAGTGGTGTTCCGCCCTTATGTTCTGTTTCTAAAGGACTACCTTTATTAAATCATTTCATTATTCGACATACAATTGACTTGTTAACGGAGTATTTATTCGGGATTTCCTTTTGTTTGACTCCTTTCTTGTAATCTTTTACAATACATTATCGAAAAGCTAAATTATACTTGTTTCCTGCCATTATAATCCAAAACAGCATATATACGCGATCTTAAATTAATATTGTAATAATTGAAACACTCCATTTTCATCTCTGGACAAAAATTTACAATTGATTGATTCTCATCGGTTAAGTACTAATAATTATAACCATACAATTCCCTTGCGCATTATTTCCACACTTGTGCCGCTGATTTTCCTTGTATTCATATATATATATATATATATATATATATATATATATATATATATATATATATATATATATATATATATATATATATATATATATATATATATATATATATATATATATATATATATATACATATATATATATATATATATATATATATATATATATACATATATATATATATATACATTTGTATATATATATATATATACATTTGTATATATATATGTATATATATATATATATATATATATATATATATATATATATATATATATATATATATATATATATAAACATATATCAACGTATACACAATGTATATATATATATATAAGTTTATATATAAATACATAAATCTATGTATAAACAATGTGTATATGTATATCTATATATATATATATATATATATATAATAAGCAGATGTTGTCGCAATATAGTTTTCAAGTGAAAGTCAAACTGTAAAACTTGATACATGTTTCGTATGTTTTAACATTACATAATTTTAAGTTTACCTACGTTTGATACTTGCATTCACTTTCGTTCACTACTAACACCACTATTAACACTGCTATTAAGTTCGGCAATAATATATAGAGATTTAATGTAGTACACAAAACCATTACAGTAATTCATTTAATTGCAATAAAAAGACCTAAGATTTGAAAAAAGTGTTTTCAAAGTGTTTATTTTCATTAGTAAAAAGCTAATGTTTATATTTCTAAATAATGAAATTTTCATTCCCATTTTTTATACATTAAAGACAATTTTCAAAGTCAGTTTTTATTTTAATGTTCTAGTTTTTTTTAAACATTCCAATGCTAGTTAATTGTATATTATATTTGTCTCACACGGGTAAAAAAAGAAGTAAAACCATGGTTTAACCATGGAAGTATAAAACAGATGGAAGTTCAACTGCATTGAAATTCTTCGGGACTATGATTGTAACCTTTTGTTTCGTAAACAATAAGAAAACGACATCAAGACTGTACTTAAACGCGTTATCTTTATACGTTGACGCAATTAGGTACGTTTATAATAATTAAAAAATAAAGGTTCGCCAATAATATTCAAAAAAAACATTAAAAATGGCGCAACAAAACGGCAAGCAACAACTTTTTTTTATAAATTTCATATTAAATGAAAATGGAGTACTGCAAGAATGAATGGAGTTATGATATACAGCTAATGAAACTTTAAACTTTAGTTATTTAGAAAACAATTTTTTTGATTTTTTAAAAATTGTTTTAGTTGTCTTTTTTATCAAATGTCGTGTTATGACTTGAAGCAAGAAAAGAAGCTTAAACTAACATATGCTTTTAAAATCAAGTGGTTCTATTTAATTATCGAGTTTTAATAAACCTTTTGCTGAATAATTGCAAGTACTAATGGTTAAAAATTTGCAGCATATTCCTAGAATAATTCATTTTTTAATATTTAAATAAAAATCATTTCAGTGAATTTATTCTTTTTTTCACCCAGTGAAACTTGTTTTTTTTTTAATTGTCGGTTACAAGTATACTCCCGAGACGACTTGATATTGCTTTGATGTTTGCGGCTCGATGAACTTCCATCTGTTTTATACTTCCATGATTTAACTGTGTCCGTGGCTACCCTCAAATTTTGAAGCGTGTCTTTTTTCTAACATTTTTTCTTTTATGTTTTGCGTATTATTAAAAGTATATAATAATTGTTTTTTTTGTTTCTAATTCGATTGGTAAATGTTTATTAGGGTGTCCCAAAAATATATAAAAGAACCTTTTATTTCTAAACTTCGTTTGTACACCCAAAATTCCTTGTATATATAAAGGTAGAAGATAAATGCATAGTAAAAAATTGCACTCAGATCATTTTAAGTGCTTACTGTAAAACTCCTAAATCTTCCTTTTTTAGCTAGAAAAGATTAAAATTAAATAGCTGATAGTATAATTCTTTTATTCATAAATATATCTCATTATTATCATTAACTGAAAGTATAATTCTATTAATTCACAAATATATCTAATTATATATTAACATATAGAATAGCTTTAAATTTTATATAATATGTAGAATAGCTTTAAATTTTTATAAGTTCGTTTTGAGTTACTTTCTTTGTTACTTATTTTCTCTCCTCTCTCGCTATCAATATTATATTTTGACGCTGTTTTTCTATTTGAAAATATTTTAAAAAATCATTTATTAATCCGATGTTTTTTTCAGCGCAGTCGTTGGTTACACTAAGTCCTTTGACAAAATTTTCAAAATCTCATACTTGACAAACATTTCCAAGTGAGAGTCAACTAGTGAAAAAACAACTACTGCTAGAGAAAGATACCACGAATATTTGTGAAAACTTTTAATGAAAGCATTGCCAACATCGGCATTAAATTCATCCTTAATAACATATACTGCTTTAAATGCATTAAAATCATTAAGTACAATATGTTGAGCGCTTCTAGACTTGAGGTACCATGGAGCATAACAAACAGCAACAATAAAGGCACATGTTTCAATTTCATTTTTATTTTCATCAGGTAAAAAGGTTATAATAGTGGATGCCATTTCTAGTGTAAGAATATACTAAGCATTAGCCATGAATCTTGCTTCGTAACAAGCTCCAGGTTGATGAGTTTTAAATTCATTAAGCTAATTAGATTCGACGCCAAAATAAAAAGCCATATATTTAACAAGGTGATTATAGTCATTTTTTGGAAAAATTCTATTCTCCAACAAATACTTCGCATAATCTTTAGCTGTTAGCGCCAAGATGTAAAGCCTTCTACCTATTTCCAGCTTGTTCCAATCAAATTTTTTCAGTTCTGGAGTTCTTGAGTTTACAGATTCATGAGAAGTTTCCCAGTGTTTTGGAAAGCTAAGTACATAGACTTGCTTGGACCTTTAGATTTAACTTTTGTGATAGTCTGTACTGCATGAGTTATATGGAGTTCATATATGTGGTAACGACAGATAAACAAAACAAACACTTGTTAAGAATTCTACTAATAACTATTATACCTCCATTTAGTCTACCTTTATTACTTGATGTAGTATCAGTCCAGACTCCAATTATATTACCAGCTATTTCAAAATACTCTAAAATGTTTTGAATAACAATAGCATGCTCTTTTCCTTTATTTCTCTCCACAGCTATAATTCCAAATAGACGATCTTTTGTATTAAATTCAGGACTGGTAACAGATACCGCAACCCTTTTATTTTTAACTGTAATTTTTAACTTTTCCTCTATTTCTTTCACCAACTTACTATCAAAATGCAAGATCAAATTCTTTCCCAACATTTCTTCATAATGGCTTGATCTGATGGTGGCTCCATGATGGTGGCTCCATTAATGGTGGCTCCATGATGGTGGCTCCATGATGGTGGCTCCATTAGATTAAAAAGATTTTTTTTCTCTTTGTAACTATTATTTTTTATTTTATTATAAATATTTTGAATGTAAAAAAAATTTACCTAAATCTTCAATATACTTGAATCTACTTCTAGCTATTGAGCTTCTTGATATATTTAAATCATGAACATTTCCCCCTAAAGCTTTAATAACAGCTCCTAGAAACATTGTTTGTGAGCGAATGCTATTCCACATCTAACACTAACAGGTGTTGTAGCTAATAGAAGCTTATCTCTGTCGAACTCTATTGCTATTTCTGAACAGCCAGATTTAGATGTTTTTTGACGCTTTAACTCTGTGTGTGTTAGAAGCTGATTTCCATTGCTTTCTGGAAAATCGAAATCACTATCACTAGCAACTGAAGACTGGTGAGTCACAGAACCTAAGTAACAAAAAGTGTTAATGACTTAATAAAGTGAATAAAAGTTTTATCTTTTTTTTACAAAAAATAATTTGGAATAAAACATTGGGATATAATTTACCTGATGCCTCGGTTTCATCTGATTCACAAGAAATCACTTCATCCATTTCTAAATCGATTTTGCAATCAAACTTAAAACTTTCATTAACTCTGCATTTTTCTTCATAAGATCTCATTCTTTCATACCTTTTAATTCTCCTTTCAACTCTTTGTTTCATATTAATGTCATACTTTTCACTTATCACACCTCTCCTCAATGTTCTTTGATCTTGAAATTTTCTATCACTGCATGATTCGATCTTGGAATATTTTTTTCTGATTTTATTTTTGCTTCTATGTTTTTTTGAGAAATGTCAAACAAATTTTCAAAAAATTCTTCAAACTTATTTTCGTGTTTTTTTGGGGTAACTGTGTTCCAGGCTAAATAACTTGTATTTCGCATTGAAACGTATAATTTATTTAGTTTAATAACCTTTTGCACAATTTGTACTTCAGAAATTATATAGTTTCCAAAGCCAGCATATTTCCATATATTAACAATTTTTCTTACGCAGCAAATCTCCATATTTTCATAACAGAAATCTTTGTCAAGACAAACCATATCCCTACTCCCGCTCTTTTTTTTGCATGAAAAACTTTCTTGGGTAGACTTGAACCTTTTACTTTTTTCTGTAATAACATACTGATAATATCGTAGAACTGTTCCATTTGTTGGGAGTTGATGTTGAGGAAATACAGAAATCGGACTTCTGAGAAGGTAAATCAGTCGTCGTGGATTAAATTAACATTGTAGCTTGACTTTTTTAATTTTGTGATCTTTCTTTTTCCCATTTGTGATAAGAATTTGTTTTAAGTATTTTTTTTATATTTATTAAAAACTAAATACACCTTTTCACAGTTCCGATAAAAAATTTATGCTCGCGCAGAAATGGAAGTAAAAACGTAAACAAACGTTATTTTAACAGTAATTTGTTCGAGATTTACAAAGTAAAACTAAGGTTTATCAAACAATATTATTAAACCAGTGCCATTAAAAACATTGACTCTTGGATATGTAAAATAATTCAACTATCTTATTTTGTACTCAAATATACTTAATGTAGTGTTTAAAGCTAAATTTATGCATATATATATATATATATATATATATATATATATATATATATATATATATATATATATATATATATATATATATATATATATATATATATATATATATATATATATATATATATATTCTGAAATAAGTTGTAAAATTTCAGCGACTTTTACAAATAGTACAAGTACTAATCTAAAGTAAAAACCTGCAACATTACAATAAAACATTAGCGATAATAGTATAAATAACAATAATTACAATAATAATAGTAATGATAATAATTATAATAATAGTAACTGTGTATTTTAGAATACAATCTAAACATTTGTTGCAAATTGTAATTTCTTTATCCAAAATTTAGCTTCTGTAAGCTTTAGAAATTATTTAAAGAAATTATTGATGAATTCTGATTTACGGGTTCTTATGTTTTTATATTGTTGTAATGTTTGTATTCACTCCTTGTTAGTTTCTGTCAAAACTTTTAGGTGTTTTCATAATAAAATCTGTTATATCTGAAATTTAGTGTAAGTCTATATAACTTAATTTCTTAAATCTGTTTTGCATTGCATGCCTTATAACATCTTTACTTGGAACAAAAACCATGTGCTTTAAAAGTGAGCTTTCAACCTAAGAAAATATTGCATTTGCTTATCTTAAAGATATATTAAACCTGTCAGCAAGATCAATTGTCAGTATTCCAAGTATTAGCATCATTAAAAATTCATTTTTGCTGCATAACATTTATTTTGGTCCAAGTAGTTTAGGGTTTTTTTAAATTTCAAAACACAGCAGTAGATGTCTTTTTAATAACACTTTATCTTCTTTTGATTAATGGTGATACAGCACTAACTGATGAAACACATTGATAGATGTAAGGCCAGTTTAAAAGTCGCAAAATCTATCGTTTTTAAAATAAATGTTTGTATAGAAGTTAATTGTAATAACACGATTTGTTTGGATTATGTTTATATACAAATTTGTTTCATAGTAATAACTGATGTGTTGAATTTAATTTTTCAAATAAATTTTTATTTTTTTCTTATTTCGTGCTGAAGTTCTTTTTTTAAGTTATCAATTTCCTATTTTAATTCTAGATGCTCTATTATAAAACAACGCTTAACATTACATTCGACATAATTTGATGGATCATTGTTTGAAAAATTTCCATTGCATTTAATTTGGTGGATTTTTGTACGAATCTGGCGGTTTTTTTCATTTAATCTGGCGGTTTTTTGCATTTAATCTGGCGATTTTTTGTATTTAATCTGGCGATTTTTTGCATTTAATCTGGTGGTTTTTTGTATTTAATATATATATATATATATATATATATATATATATATATATATATATATATATATATATATATATATATATATATATATATATATATATATATATATATATATAAGCGTATATATTTAATATATATTTTAGCGTATATATTTAAGCGTATTTAAGAATCCTTTAAAGATTTCTGCTGTCACCCCTACTCCAATTATTGCTTTACAGTGGACTATGTTTAAACAATTTAATGCTAATATCATAGTTATGTTACGGCCTCTTGATGATAACACATGTTGATTTGGGGTCGTTCCTCGGAGACTGTATCCATGGTTTCTTATCATATAAAGATTGATCAAATTTCTTACTTCAACATTAATCTCTGAGCATTGTCTTCGTGCGTTTTTCATTTTAAAATTTTAAAAAATTTAAGAGAAAACGGGCTTAAATTGTACATAAGGAAGTTAAATTAAATAAAGCAATAAAAACAAAGCTGTTTATCATGATAAAGAAAAACGCCCAGATTGAATGCAAAAAACCGCCAGATTAAATGCAAAAAACCGCCAGATTAAATGAAAAAACCCGCCAGATTCGTGCAAAAATCCACCAGATTAAAAGCAAAAACCGGTATTTACATTAAATAATACAAGTCTTTGAGCATTGTAGCCTAAGTTAAACGAAAAATATCGATTTTTAAACGATAGTGCTCTGTCAGGAAAATTGTCTGAACATACTCTCATTTTATATTTTATGGTAAACAATTTAATATGAAGCAATAATGTAGGAGTTGAACGGTTAATTAGTTTTCTCTATAATTCTCTGAGCTGTAGTTATTTTTATATTATTATATATGTGTGTGTGTTGATAATGGATAACAAATGCTTACTCAAATGGTAGTTTGCAGTTTCACAAGTTAGAGCTTTGTTTAACATTTTGTATCATACATAAATCATCTTTCCACATTTCTAGATTGTTCTCGCTTTTTTTACAATCGATGAGAGCGCATGTTTTCGATCTCTTGAAACTTCTATATGGTATAGGTTCGGTATTTACATTTTTTTTCCATTATAAACCTCTTTAATTTAAACCGTTGAAATAATGTTTGTTTACGTTTTTACTTCCATTTCTGCGCGCGCATAAATTTTTATATCGGAACTGTGAAAAGGTGTATTACGCAAAAGATTCTTTTGTCAAGAGTAACAATATGATTAGTTGTTTTTTTATCAGAAAAAAATGATTGGTTTAAGTTTGTTTATGTTTTCTAAAAAGGTAATCATGATTGCCGCTTTCAAAGTTTATATAATTTAAAAGTCGATATTTTAAAGTCAAATAAGATAAGGTTGGTATATTGGTATATAATTGTTTAAAATAGCTGTTTGTCAAAAAAAAAAAAAAAAGATAGGTACCCAAATTATCGATGTTTTAAAAACACATTAATATATATTGTTTTTAAAATTTCCTAATATTTGGAACAGTGATCAAGAAAAGTTTGTTAACATTCTACTAGTTAATCAGTTACCATCCATATCCTAATACAGTTTAAAAAAAAAAAAAGATTACAGATGTTTTTTAAATTATGAAAAACAGCAGCTATTAGAATTATTAAAAGAGTAAACTTTCATTTAGATGCAGCAGAAGTATTCAAGTTAAGAAAAACTCAGAACACTTAATAACATCCGATTTTTAATTTCTACAGTAAGCACTTAAGGCAAGTTTCCACTCATACGGGAACGGGAAAGGGACGGGAAAAATAATCACGTAGGCATGCGTAATATAAGTTTTAATATGTCCGAAGGAAAACTACACGTGCTCACGTGATTATTTTTCCCTTTCCTATCCCGTTCCCGTGAAAAAACGGATGAGTGGAAACTCACCTTTAAATCTTTTTGACGTAGCCAAAGTTTACGTTACGTCAATTTTTTTGTTTTTGTTTTTTTGTTTTTTGAGTTTTGATGCAATCATTGGAAGTCTGGGCACAATAAACAAAATTTAGCGTAAAATCAAAAATTTTGTTTCTTTAAAACAATAAAAGTTATTGATAACGCTCTTTAACTGAATATTTATAAAACTACAGTTCTAAATCATATTTTTATAAACAACTTTAAAAAACAAGTAAACGCAAATAATAACATAGCAAAAATATTGTTTTAAGTTTTTCACTTTGAGTGAAAATTATTAAACAGCAAAAACAATATGGAAATGTTCTATAATATTCCGTCTGCTATAAACAACTCTTTTAATGTCATTTGTACCAATAAAAAGTCAAGCAATATAGATGAAGACGTTTCGTTTATCAAAAAACCATCGAAAGGTTTTAAAAATCCGCATTGTTATTTGAATCTGATCTATCAAGAGCATAATTGTTATGCAAGAATTTGTGAGAAAAAAAGTGATTTAAATGCAAGATTATTTTTTTTAATAAGCAAACTACCTCAACACCATTGTGAACATGAAGCACTAACAAGAAAGTTTTTTCTTGTGCCAACCTCTGCATACTTATTAAAACGCAGACATGCTATTTGCGAAAGGTCGGCGGAAGAAAGAGCCATTTTGTACCAAACGATTAGATCTTTCTTAACACTTCAAAAATTGGTTATCTACGAATTTTTTTAGCACTTTATAGTGTATGGTTTATACTTATGCTCTGTAGATTATATGAGTGCCATTTTGTTATTAAAATATTGTTAGACTTCTTATGTTATTACATCCCAAACGCTTAGACTTTTATTAGCTCTTTAAAATCTACGATTTTTTAAGATTTTGAACTATGGTTTATAATTAACTTTTCATATAAATATATTTTTGATTAATTAAAAACTTTTTTACTCTGTTTATGTGTATTTTTAAAATTTAAAGTTACGTTTATAATTTAAAAGAAATTTTGATAGGTAAGCAAATGAATTACAATTTCCTTTCCCTATTATTTATTAAATTTACGTTGTTCGATAGAACAACGTAACTTTAATGCTATTGGTATTTAACGCTATTGCTATTTTAGTATTGGTATTTAACGGTATTTAATGCTAATTGGTAATTTTTTAAATTGTTATTTAATTTACTTAATTGGTATTTAACGCTATTGGTAAAACCGATCGATTTTACCAAGAGCGTTTAAGTAAAATTAAACGTAAATCAAGACTTAGTTCTAAGCTTATATTACTGAAACCTGAAAACACTTGCAAGTGCATGAAAAATTAAACACGCTACATGAGAGTTAGAGCGCTGCTAAAAGATCGGAATTATTATGAGTGTTTGAAAGTTCATCAAAAATGTAAAACAAAATTATGCCTAAAATGAAATTTAAAGGTTATTTTGTAAAGTTTTAGTAAAATAACATTTAAGCAACCTTTCAGATTAAGCATAGAATAAATCGACTATTTTGCTTTATTTTTCTTCCGCACATAAAAAATAAAAGCAAAGTATAAGCGAACTTAAAAAATGTCTGAATAAACGCAATAAATGTCTACAATAAGATCTCATCAAATAGTGAAAGCTTTTTTTTATCAAACGGTTCAAATAATTAAATTTAAAATTATTTTTAGGGTGACTCTATGGAAAAAAAAAATTTTTTTGAATAAAAAAAGGTTGCAGCGGTTCATATACATTTTAGTGGGTTTTTGTTGATTTATGAACTTCAAAATTTCATTACAAAACTATAATTTATAGTTTTGTTATGTAATTTTAAAGTTCATATATCATCAAAACACTAAAATCTATATAAATCATTTCTTTAAATATAATTTATTTATAATATAAATAAATTATACTTAAAACTCTAAGACAAAAGGGAATCTGAAAAAATTCAAAGTTTTGTCTTTATTAATATTTATTTCTATTAAAAGAATAAAAGAATAATTAATAAATACAAAATATTACACAGTGCCGTGGTTAAGCCCTCCCACGCCATAGTAATTTTAAGAGGCCCTTTTGCAAACTTAAGAAGCTTTTCTATATATTTTTTTATTTTAAAAATAAAAAGTAAAGTTATATAATAAAAAAAAATAAGTGTTCTCTTAGTAGGGGAGAGTCGGGTTATGTCGAACGCGGGGTAATTCCGAACAAGGTCGTTACGGCATGTTAGAAAAGGGTAGTTGACAATCTTTTTTTTTCTCACAAGAGTTGGTTCCATGCTCAGTTCCAGACGTGCAATAGTGTATTATATATGCGCAGGTTCTTCAAGGTAGATTGATTTTAAGTTTTTCTCTTAGTTTTATGTAATTTTTATTTGCGAAACATTTATGTATTGGCTATACTATGTATATAAAACCACACATTTATTTATGTTGTTGCAAAGTATCATAATCATGGAGTTAGTAAAACGTATTATATTTAGGGTATGATAATACTATCTCAATATATTCGTTTAAATTCATTTGGTTGGATCGCGGGGAAATAACGAACGATCTTAGTGGGGTAATCGCGAACGCTTATTGTCTTCAAATAATTCTAGCGTATATGATAACACACGGAAGATTCTTAAATAAAGTTATTCTACATTATTTATTTAGTTTATTATTGTAATATATATATATATATATATATATATATATATATATATATATATATATATATATATATATATATATATATATATATATATATATATATATATATATATATAAATAAAGTGTAATTAAATAGAAAAATACAACTTTATAATGGAACTAAAAGTTTCATGCCTATCGGCAATCTTCAGCCATATATATTATACAAATCAAGAAAAAACCGTACGGTTTTTTCTTGATTTGTATAATATATATGGCTGAAGATTGCCGATAGGCATGAAACTTTTAGTTCCATTATAAAGTTGTATTTTTCTATTTAATTACACTTTATTTATATATATATATATTGATCTATTTTGTAAAAATTATTAAGAAGAATTTTCAAAATTCTTTTTAGGCAACTATTTTAAATTAGTACATTTAAAATCATCGCAATTAAGAAATATAGAATCATAATTTGTTCAAAAAGCTGGATTATAAGAATTTTATAGCAAGTGTAGATTACGAGGTTACGAGAGATTTATAGCAAGTGTAGATTACGAGATTAAGGAAACTTTATAGTAAATAGAGATTAGTAGATCTAGATTATAAGATCTAGATCTAGATTATAATTTTTGGCTTAGCATAGGAACTGTCACAAGTCATAAAGACTAATCCAAAGTAGCATCCGTTATTAATCAATATTTTTTGGTAAAATTACTCAAGCACTGAGTTAGCAGTGACTGGATTTGAACTCGTATTGCACAACAGTCGGGGTTTTAACAACTGGTTTGACGCTCTAACCAGTTGACAGATCCAGTATGGATTCCCCCCTCCCCCAGAATCTGAAAGACTTTAAAATATCTAAGAAATTGAGGACTTTTTTTAATATATAGGAGCAAATATGGTACAAAATACAAGTATATTTAAAATCCCTCCCCATCTCACACCAAAAATTCCTGAATCCGTCACTGGATTTAACAATAGTCAATAGAAGTTATACAGCCGTGGCGCAGTGGTAGCGCACTTGCCTCAGAAACGTAAGATACGTGGTTCAAATTCCACCTCTGGGAAAGTTTTGCGACATCGGTTGGGAAGGAGGCGTGAACTTCCTATTAAATGCTTTTCCGCGGTGCTTTGTGATAAGACCGTAAGGACTTCTTGGGACACCTAAATCAATATTAATATATATATATATATATATATATATATATATATATATATATATATATATATATATATATATATATATATATATATATATATATATATATATATGTATATATATATATATATACCTTCTATTTACTATGCTATATGGGGTATAACTTCTATTGACTATGCTCTAACCAATTGAGCTACCCTGCATAGCCTAGTTGGTTAGAGCCAGTGACGGATCCAGAAATTTTTAGTGGGGGGGGGGGGGGGGAGGGGATGTTTTATTTTTAAGCATGATTAATTATTTTTATGTAGCCACGAATAAAAAAAAAAGAAAAAGTTATAAAAATAATGAATCATACTTAAGTATATAACAAAACTTATTCGAAAACTTCATAAATAAATAGTAAAAAAACAACTTCAAATTCACAAAAAACATAGGTCTCATTGAGCATAAATATATGATACAAAGCCAGTATTTACACGATAATACACAAAATAAAAAATACATAGTCTTAGAAAAAACAGTTTTGTCAATGTTCTTTAAAAAATTTATGTTAGAAATAAAAATTCAAATTCAAAAAATACACTTTATTTTTATGCAAACAAATAGCCAACGAAAAGCGCGCTCGTTCAAATTTTAAATGAAAACCTTGCAGTTATCCTATTTTTAAAGTAAGTTAAAATGCAAATAAAAAAATTACGCAAAAATTTAATAATTATCACGTTTTTTATAAGCTAAACATTTACCCCGTTTTAATTTTTATAATTAGGTTCTTTAAGCATAATGTGATTCTGTAATGCCCGAGGCAAATTACTTTCCCTCCTCCTCCACCGCTTGGCTTTCCGACAACTATAATTATCTATACTACTTTTATTAATATTAAATTAAATTGGTGTTTTTTTCAGATTCGTAATTTTAAATTTTTTACACCTTACAATTGTAAGGTGTTTAAATTCGTAATATTTGCAAATATCTTTGGTGAATTTTTCGTAACATATTTGACTTGATATTGATCGAGCTAATTTGTTTTTACTTTATTTTTTCGTTAACGCACTCGCCGACAGCTTTGGAATGGTTTCATTTGGTAAAATATAAAAAAATTTATTATACATTAGCAAAAGCTAAATATTTAAAATGGTTTTATTTTTTAAAAATTTGTTGTGTTGCCAGAAAAATATTGACCACGAGGAGGAAAACTATAAGTGGAACCAAACTAGTTTACTTGATCTAAAAGTAGAAGCCGAGGAACTAAGTTTAAAATACGGAAAAATTAGTACTCATATTGAAAATTTAAAAATGTACGAATTTACTTCGCTGACAACTATTGGTTCGGGTGGCTTTTCAATAGTTAAAAAGGGATATTCCAAAAAGTTTAAACGAGATATTGCTGTAAAAATTATTCTGTTGGATCAAAAAGAGAATGAGTCGTATATAAAAAAATATTTGCACAGTGAAGTTTCTTTTTGGAAAGAACTTTCTAGTGGTTTACATATTAACATAGTAAATTTAATTGAGGCTGTAGAAGCTGCTAAAGTTATGTATTTTATTATGGACTTAGTAGACAAAGGTGATTTGGATCAGTATTTGTTAAAGGGTCCAATGACAAGCTACAAAGCAAAAGCTTTTTTCAAAGATATCGTGGAAGCTGTAAACTATTGTCATGGTAAAAGTATAGCTCATCGTGATATAAAACCAAAAAATTTACTAGTTGATAATAATGACAGAATCAGGTTGACGGGTAAGATTGTTTCATTTTGAAATTTGTGAGAGTTTTAGCATAATAGAGCTGCAAATAATACCATTTTAGCATAACAAAGCTGAAAATATTACCATTTTACATTTCATTTAATAGTATTTTAACAATTGCGCAATAAATTTAAAAGGTAACATTTCTTTTTTAATGAAAAAGTTCTGTTAAAAGACAGAAATATTTGATTTAAAAAGGTAAACTCATAAAAATTTATAATTGAAAATTAAACTTCGAAGGAGTTACCGAAAGTGTCAACATTTAGTCAAAATGGTTGCAACTTGTAAAAGCATATTTTAAGTTTTTAAAATTCAATTACAGTAATTATATATCAGGGTGGCCACAGTTCCTCTAAAATCCTCTAAAGTCCTCTACTATCCTCTTAAAAGTTTAAAATATGATCAATTCTCCTCTATAACTCCTCTTTTTTTTTTTTTTTTTTTTTTTTTTTTGAAGTTTACTCAATTTTAAGAAATAATAAAAATAAATATATTTTTATTAAAAAATAATATTGTATTGTTTCGATTAGCAGATTTTTATTTTAGTTACAGTATTAACGTTTATATTAGTTACAGTAATACATTTTTGAAAAGGTTTTCTTATTCTTACAACAATTTTAAAGAGTTTATATCTGTGTAGAAACTGATTTGAATGTAGTATGTCTACCATAAAGAATTTATTTGTTTTGTTTAGAAAAGTATAAATAATGCCTAAGTTTAAAAGTAAATTTCAAGAATTGTGGCTCATTGAAGAGGAGTTCAAATGCTGGTTGCAAAAAGAAAAAAAAGATGAAGCAAGTGCATTTTGTAAAGTTTGTTCGAAGTCCTTTAGCATTGCAAACAGTGGAATAGAAAATGTAAAGCAACATGCCGAAGGGAAGAAACATGAGGAAAGATGTCCATCTAATAGCAGTAAGACAAGTTTTTTCAAAAGGTTATCTGAAGTAACTAATCCACTAGAACAAAAAGCAGCTCAAAAGCAAACAAATTCAATTGATATGATGTCAAGAGATCAGATATTAATTGCAGAGGTAATTTGGTCACTAGAAGTTTTGAAATGTAAATATTCTTACCGTTCTTCAGAATCAAAAAGTAAGCTGTTTTGCTCCATGTTTCCAGACAGTCAAATTGCTCAAAGTTTCACTTGTGGAAAAACAAAATGCAGTTACATTTTATGTCACAGTGTTGCCTTTTTTGTTAAAGAAACAATGCTAAACAAATTGAACAAAGTTCCTTATTATAGCACATTATTTGATGAATGTTGTAACAAAATTTCTAAAAAAAGTCAAATGGATTTACATGTTCGTTTTTGTGATGACACAGAAATGGAAACATCTTATTGGAGTTCTAAGTTCTTGGGTAAAGCATCTGCTGGTGATGTTTTTTCAAAATATAATAATTGTTGAAGTTCATTGGATTGTAGTAAAGTCCACCAAGTTTCTTCTGACGGACCTAATGTAAATTTAGCCTTTTTAAATCTGGTAAATGAGAGTAGAAAAGATTTACTTGATCCATTAATTATTATCGGAACATGTAGTCTCCATACCCTTCATCGTTCTTTGCGCACTGGGGAAATGGCTACTAACTGTAATATTAAGAAACAACTTTTTTCTCTGTATAAAATATTTGATGAGTCTCCTTCTCGCCGAGCTGATTATAAATGTCTAACAGCTGCTACTTTTTCCGATTACCCTCTTAAATTTTGTGCACACAGATGGATTGAAAATATTGATGTTTCCAAACGCGCTCAAATTATTTGGCCTGAAATAAATGAAGTTGTAAAGTTTTGGAAAGGCTTACCATAATCGAAGCAACCTGGAAACGGAAAGCCTAGACAAAACACCAGTTCTGATTGTCTTGCTAAAGCTGTGGAAGATGTCACTATACCAATGAAACTTAGATTTTTTGAGGAAATTGCAACATCATTAAATGATTTCTTAATTATTTTTCAAACTGACAATCCAATGGTGCCATTTCTTACCGAGTCACTAGACAATGTCCTTCGTAATTTATGCAGCCGCTTTTTGAGGAAGGATGTTTTAGAAAAAGCAAACTCTGTATATAAGCTGCTCAAAGTTATTGTTAGTTGAGTGTTATTGGAGTCTGTTGATCTTGATTTTGCTATAAAACATGATATCAGAATTTTGAAAAAAAATGGAAAGTTGAGAGATCATTTACGCAATCTTCAGTATGGCGCTTTACAGTTCTTGTCTAGTTTATGTACGCATTTTACAGAAAAAAGTATATTAAAAAATAATCTTGTTCAAAGTACTTCTTGTTTGTCTCCTAAAATTATGTTGGAACCGGCAGCGCTATCAACAGCTTTATTAGACAAAATGTTTGAAATCCTTGTTGGTTTAAAAAAACTGACTTCTGAAACCGCAATGAAAACCAAACAAGAGTATTCAAAATTTTTGTCAAATTTTGTCAAGATTAACACAGAACTATTCAAAGAATTTGATGAATCTAAAGATTGGTTGGACTCATTTCTCTGGAAGCACATTTGTTCAGATCCTAACAATATATTACGGTCAGGCAACTGTTGAGCGAGGATTTACTGAAAACAAAATGCTTCATGTTGAAAATCTTGACATGGAAAGTCTTATTTCTGAACGAATAATATTAGACTATATAAAAGAAAAAAAATTTTGAACCTTACAGTTTTCCCATGTCAAAGAATTTTTTATTGTATGTTAAATCTTCTCGTCAAAAATATTAACAATCACTTGTTCACAAATCTAAAATCAAATTGAGCATGGAGAAGAATGAAAAAGAGATTGAGATTGCTTTAGAATTTCAGGAAATAAATATTAAGGTTGTCTCTTTGGAAAAAACTATCATCCTGCTTCAAAAAGATGTTGATAACTTTGCATTTGAGGCAGAAAAAAATAATGATATAACTATCTTATCCAAATGTAATGCCTTGAAAAGTGTTGCAATTGACAAAGAGAGTATTCTCTGTCAATTGAAATGCAAAAAAGCGAAGCTGGTAGAACTTAAGGAACGATTTCGTTAATAAAAAATATATAAATTTTTATTTCATGTAATCAAATTTCATTTATTGATTTTAGTATAAAGTTATGAATACCTTGGTTTGAAAAATTGGTTAATGCCAGGAAGGCATGGGTTGGGTTGTAAAAATTCCGTCAGCAATCTAAGTCATTTAACTTAATAAATCACATTATAAAAGTCTTTCAAAGCCACCCAAGTGACTAAACATGAATGTTAAACCTATATAAAAATCTCTTTTAAAATCCTCTATTTTTATTAAAAATTTTATAGTTTCAGAGTTAAAAATCCTCTAAATTTGATGCAAAATCTCCTCTAAAATCCTCGAATCTTTTTTTTATAAAAATTTTGTGTGGCCACCCTGTATATATTATTCATATTTTGGTTAAATAGTATTAAACCTAAAACTGAAACTTAGGAAAAACCAGAACCATTAAAGCATAACAGAAAACCTTTTGAAAAAGTTGATTCTTGTTTAAAACATTTCAAGTCTCTTTTTAACTCCAGGGTAAAATTAATTTTAACTCTCTGGTTAATCTCGAAACAAAATAACCACGGGAGTTTAAATATTTCAAAATACGACAAAATACTTGAATCTTTTTAAAACTGACCAAAATAAATTTATCCTTTTTGATATGCGTGTTATATCCGAAGCAGAACAATAAGCTGACAATGGTTTTGACGTTGGTCAAAAGCAGTGCGCTGCTAGGAATAGTTTAGCTTGAACATTTTTTATTTAAATACCGTAAAAATACAAAGATATTAATAAATAATAACTAATTGATAATTAATATCAACGTTATTAATAATTGTTAACGTTGTATTTTATGGTATTTTCCATTTAGCATTATAATGCCACTTCTTATTCTTTCCATGTAGCATTATAAAGCTACTTCTTAGTTAAGAAGTGGTTTGATTAATCAAGTAAACATTACTTATGTTAAGTAATCCAAAAAAATAGTAAAATACATTTTACAGTTTATATACAGCAGTTAATTCTATCAAGACAGTGGCTAAAGGCAATAGCCAGTGGCTATAGTCAACAACTACTTGGAGTTTGATCTTATAGATTACTTGGAATTTGTTTAACTAATTTATGTCTTGTAATCATTAATCAGAAAGCAGTAAAAAGGAAATAATTTGTTTACACACACTCCTGTAAATACCTGAAAATACCTACTTACCTAACATTGTTGGGTAATTAGATTGAGAATAAGTGATGCTGGTACCCGCGAGTTTTTTAAGATAGAAGTGTCATTCTCAAAGGAGTACCTGAGGTCATCAGCATCTGGGGGCATGACTGAAAGTATGCGCCCCATTTCGAAGCAACAAAGTCTGGGGGCTCGCTGAGCCCCTAAAAGTATTACATTACGGTTTATATGGACCAAATAGCATAGTGAATTATATAATATGATTCATTTTCGAAGTATTTGGAATTTTAATGAAATAGAATATAGACTAATAGTTCTCTATACGATTGTAAATAACTTATTTAAAAAAATAAAGTATGCTCTACTAATTATACATGATTGGATTTGTTGTAGACATAGTCTACGACAAATTGATCCTTCTGGATTTAACTGTCACAAACGCGTCAATTACATTTTCAAAATAAAAATTCTCAAGTGTTTCTCTTTCGTTACTAAAGGGTGCAAGATCAATCAGACAATCTTGTATAATTGAAGCACGTAAATAAGACAAGTTTGAGAGCTCTCTTGTACCATCTACTAAAATTCATTCTCTGAAGGATTGCTCACCGCTTAAAACTGAAACAGCAGTTGTAAGAAGTAGGGGAAGTTGGGGCAAAGTTGATCGGATTTATTTATTTTTTAAATTGAGCAAAAGTTAAAATATGTATTTTGTTTTTTTCAAGATAAAAGAGTTGAGATTTTTTTTTTTTAACATATTTGCTTCCAACAAAGCTGCAAGCAACCACTACAAGTTACTAGAAGAGAAAAGATGAAGATTGTAGAGCAAGATAACGATTGACAGACGACTTAAAA